TATGATGTCTAAAAATCACTGTGGTATTTTGTTAAATCCATTCAACAGATGATGAGATTTACATAAGTGGCTTCAGTGATTGCCGAATAATAGTATTATAATCCATTATCTTCCAATTAATTAATTCTTAGTTATTTAATTGACATTAGCCCCCTCATTATCCTTGTCAAATAAGTCGCATGTACGTTTTATTCGATTTTCTGGGTTTCTCACATGCCTGGCAGTTGTTTAGCACAGTGGCTTCATCCTTGCCTCTGTTGTCTACTCCTTGCAGCTGCTGAAGAGTGGTTAGATCAGACCATGGATGTTTTGAAGGTTTGATATTAGTTGAAACCCATAAGGGAAGTTTTCCTGCCCAGTTGATCAATATGCTTCTTGAAAAACGTTTGCTGTCTGTCTTGGGCAAATGTATTGTTCCCTGGCTGCTCAATGTTCTCATTGAGGCATTATATTACCTCAGTAATGGTCCGTGTACAAACCTTAATGAAGCAGGAATCTCAGTGCACTGCACCAGTAACAGCAGGCACACATTGATGTGGAGCTGGGGATGGAAATGTAAGGCGAGCACTCGCCAGTGTCTGCCGCTTGGCTACTAAACCAGGGCAGATCTCCATGGGTTTAGCGCTTTGGTGTTCTGGGAAATGTTTTTTTTTTTATTTACTTCCAGATAATATGACCTGAGGCAAATAAGAAAGCCAAACAATACAGTTCACCTGCTATGAGTAGTTATTATAAAACAGTGGGGTGCAGGTTAACACATGCATACTGAGAATGGAACCTTACAGATCTGCCTTGGTAATGGGCTGATGCTCAGCAGATTCAATCATGCTTTTCCTCCCACCCTGAGAGAAGGTAGACTTTGTCAGTCAGTCTTCTATCCTGTCTGGTTTTATCAACAAGCTGGGCCCTTACTCTTGCTTCCCAAACCACCCTCGCTTAGTTTTATTCTTGCTGTTTCTGGTGTTTCGTTCATTCTGACTGATTAAACTGTGCTGGTTTTTGACAATGAAACTCGGTTCATTTTTAATTCAATAAATAGCTCAATAAAAAAAAAAAAAATCACATTAAAACTGAAACTGACATTAGACACAAAATGAGTTATTCCTTGGTATGTATTGTCTTGCAGAAGGACCCAACATTTTTGAACAACTAAAACTGAGAAAGTTTAATGAAATTATCTGCACCTGATTCTCATCTGAAGTGTGTATGACTCCATTACTTAGATCACACTGTTCTGCAGGATATATCTCTTTGGGTAGAGGTTCGTACAAGATGTAAGAATTTCATATGCTTTCTTCATTCGTGTTGCTGCCATGGTGTGCAGTGACATGTCACCTCATTCAATTTTGCTGAATAGGAATGTCGTGAAATGCAGAGCTTCTAGTGACAATGGGTGGCAGATTAAAAGCTCTACCTATTAATTGCCCCTGCATCTTTTATTTTTTTACCCCACCTGCCAAAACTGACAGGATATACTAATCTAATGTGTTTAGTCTGAACATGACATCGGCAGAAAAGATTCTTCCGCTGAGTTTTATTTCACTAATTTCTAATTTCTAATTTCTAATTCAGCCTCCCTTTTATTTTCATGTTAACGTTTACCCAGCCTTTTTTAATGGCTACAGTGTCTTGTAGAACTTACAGTATTTATTCTATTATATACTTATATATTTATTATCCATGATGCACTGCAAATTTCGTTGTACATTGTGCAATGACAATAAAGCTACTACTACTAACAGATAAGAATATCTCCCCTGCTTTTCTGCTGGAAAAAATTTATTATTTTGTTTTACTTACCCTCCACATAATATTTATTCAAGGATACAAACAGATAATAATTGCATGGTACAAAGCTAAATGGCTTCTTTATTTCTGTGCTAAAATATTTTGTGATTTTATTTGATTAATCTACATGGGTTTTTTTTTCTTGTAACCCGAACACACACATGCACACATGCAGTCTGATTCATTGTTATTTGATTTGTAGAGTTAATATGTAATCTTTGTGTCAGTATTTGAAAGCTCAGCTTCTTGAATGTGGTATTCTTACAATTCATCCACTCAAGCTCAGATCAAGGCCTTACAGACCTCGCATTCCATACCTTATTATCTTGGAGGAACTCACCAGTCTGGAAATGCTTGAGCTCTTCATAAGTAGTAATCCTAAACTCCCAATCATATTTTAATTTACACTGTATATATATAATTTAATATTTAAATGTATATATGGTGCCAAATATTTAAACACAAGTTATATATATTTAGATATATCATCTATTACAACATTTCAATTGAAATGAACGTTCTCCTTTGTAGTCATCATAATTTCCTGCAGTTTGTTGTTTTAAAAATAACTGAAATAAGCTATTCATAATATACAAGACATTATGCAGAAGGTCAATAGCACTCCATGACGTCCTGGTAACCTTTGTTCCTTCAATACTCCTCATAAAATATTCTTGGCATGGCTTTTCTCCTGCAACAACATTCACTCTGCTCCTTTTGAACCTGACCTTTTTTTCCCCATCTAATGAAACACACATATCCTGCAGTTTGCCCCATAATATGTTCTTACCAAAACAGCCAGTTAAAGTCTGGCTCCGGGACCTGAATCTTCTTTACATGGAATGATAGCAAGCCTCTTCTCGATCTCACATTTTTTTTAGCAAATTTAGCATAAGGCATGTTTGCATTGTAATTTCTATTTTTACCATTTTATACTATTAAATGTTGATGGAATAAATCAATATCATGGGCAGAAGAAATTTCAGCTGGGAGTCTGTAATGTCTACTGTACTGTGTCTGTAATGTCTGCTGTACTGTGTCTGTAATGTCTGCTGTACTGTGTCTGTAATGTCTTCTGTACCGTGTCTCGGCAATTCCTAAGTCTGTTACATTACTACATCGTATTCTCAAGTGGTATGAAGTTGCTGTTTTTGTGTAAAACAAATAAGCAAACAAACATCTTCTTCTTCTTCTACTAAACATTATTGACTACTGCCCATTAACATACATCTTGTTCAGGAAGTAAAACTACAAACAGTTTTGAGCCAGTGTGAGGTGAATCAATGACAAGTTATCCTGAACGATAAAACACAGCGGGTACTGACTGGGCTTATTACCGGAAATGAACTTAAACGGGCTCGCTGACTGACATCAGGAGGAGCGTTAGATTGCTTCACATGTGTAGTGCTTTTAAACTAATAATTCTTCATAATTTTATCACTGTATTCAGATATTCGGTTTTTCATCCTTAAAGGGAGACCCTGTGTTGTGTTTTAATTTTGAGTCCTAATGTTTTAATTTGTTCATCTTTCTATTATGTACATAAAAAAATTGAACTTTATCGATAGGCAGTTCTTTACTTGTATAAAAGGAAAAAAAGATAATATCCTTGTTTTTTAAGTTTAGTATTAGTCAACGTTTAATGTCATCATTCTCCTCACATTTATGGTGTAATACCATTTATTGATTTTCTTATGAATGTACAATTGTACATTGTACTGTACATATGTACAATTTACTAAAAACCGGCTAAATTGCAAAGAGAAGTGCTTTTGTCTAAGCGTTAGAGCAAACAATACACGGTCCTCTGTTAAGTGCATGACACATTACTTTAAACATTACTCTGTGAGGTACTCTACAGTTTCCCCTGATAGCTATTTTAGGTATTTTAACATTGGTTTGAGTACAGAGACAAAAAAATTCCGATATATCTTCGAATATTCAGAGATAACAACAAATTTAGACATAAAGGAGACAACCTAAGAAAAGAGTCAGATTCTACGTCATATTTCTATAGCTTTTTTTTCTCCTTGCCCACATCTTGAGAAAAACTCATTGAAAATATGAAATCTCCATTAGTAAGTTAAAATAAACAGGCGTATGACTGAAGCACCAAGAGACGAGAGGGACGTTTAAAAAGGGAAACTTTCACATAGATGAACCTGGGCTGACTCAGGTGCTCAGAAATGACCAAGGGCTTTTCATGAATACTAAAGCAATTATTCCTCAATGACATGGGCAGATGCTTGACTTATTATAAATGACTTTTTCAAATATTGTGAAGTGTAGGCTGATCAATGTTTTTGAGTAGTATGAAATATTCATAAAATGAAAATATTACAGGAAAACAGACTAAATATTGGATGTCTATGGGAAAGCGGTGTGTCTGTCACCCATACATTTGATTTCAGTGTGCTGCCTATTAAAATGATCGCTATTAAAATACTGAATTCCACCTAGAGACACTTTCCTCTATGTAAACTGCAGAGTAACACATTCATATTCCCCTTTGCAGTATTAATCTTCTGCAGGTATATATCTCTTGTTCGGGGTTTAGCTCTTAGGCAATATCCATGACTAAGAGCCCCCCCAATACCGAGAATCCTCTTTCAGGCAATATCAGCATCTGAGAGACCCCCATCAGCAGGGGCCAATTATACATTAACACTGAGAGCTTTTTTGGTTTTTAATCTCGCCTTTGCCTTCTTCATATGCTCCAAACAAAGGAGGATTCGCTCCACTCCTGCACTTCCAGGTGAGTTCCAGAGCCACCTCTGCTGTCAAAGGGCTTCGACCTCTCAGTGAAAAATGAACACTGAAGCTCGCTCTCTTCAAGGGAGCTGGCAGGAAACTTTCCTTTTTTTTCCCAGCATGGCCCAGTTCCTTGTATTTGCCTTGCGTCTCTGGAGCACAGAGCGGCCGTCCAGAGCAGTGTCCTGCTCTCCGTGCTTCTCTTGGTGATTATCACAGGACTATTATAATTCCGCTCCATTAGCAGAACATATTCTTAAGTTATGTCAAATCCCTTCTTTGCAAATTGCTGAACGAACAGAGACACAAAAGCACCGATCCCTCCTACTACCCCCACCCCTTCTCCAGACTCTACCCCTCGGCGCAACTCTGTCCCCCCTCCCTCCCATACACCCTCCCCTCACAGATATTGAGTAAGAAGCGAGGAGTCAGGGGGAGTAGGGGGTGGGGGGTGGTGGTATCCAGGAGTTACCATATGATGTCGTTTCTTTGTAATAGTGGGCCAGCCTCGCTTTAAGCCATGTGATACCCCTCTGTTTCCAGCAAGGCTGCGCTGAAGCACACGGACGCTATACTTCCAAAGGAAACAGAGCTCTGGCATAGCGGCTGCTTTCCAGCAGGAGCAGAATGATCCTCCACTGAACAGGGTCTCGCTTATGTATGCGGGAGCAGGGGGAGAGACGGACAGCCTCGCAGTCTCCCCCATAGATCTGGCATGATATAAAAAAAAGAAAAGGTGGAACTGAGCAGCCTTGTAAATATTAGCCGGTTTACTGACAGAGAAGCGGCTTCTGCTGTGAGAGCTCAGCCTGCACGCTGGCAGGATTGGAGACTGAGCGGGAGACAGAGGGAAAGTGAAGAGTTTTCCTCAAACCCCAACTGGAACTTGTGGAATTCCCCGTTTCAGAGGAATGGATGGATTTAAGACTATGTGCTAAATTATTTTGATGTACACTGTCTGCTTTCCTGCTCCTGGCTGGGTTACTCAGGTAAGAGGCTTGGGTCTTTGTGGGACTTTTCATCACATATAAGGGGAACAGAAACGCATTCTTACACCTCCCTCAGACTAATACTAAACAGCAAAAACATGCCAAATTTGAGGCACAGGGATCACGGCAAAGAGAACTGATGGTCTTAGTAGAGCAATTAAAGGAGGGAAATGAAGTTACTTTAAAAAGTAAATGTTTAAAGTCATAAGAAAGTTATTATTGTTTCAATTTTTTTTTCTGTTGAACTACCAGTATTCACTGCCTCTGTGACAGACAGCAGTTAAAAGATGGATGGATGGATGTTTTTTTGTTTCTGAAATTCTGTAAAGATATAATTAAAATGCATGCTTTTCATATTACAGAGATTGTTCGAAGTCCATTGCCTATGACTGGTAATTCATAAGGGCTACAGTGAAAAAAATAGAATGAAACTTTATATAGAATGAAAATTCTCCTACATGCAGTCATGTGCACAGAGTCGTGAGAACTTGAGACTCATTTTTTTTAGACATCTGAGTGACAGATGAATAAGACCAACCTGCAGAGATTGCAAATCATTAAATGCACATGCACACATGCATACCCTTGCAGACATACTTACAACCGACAACTGTGACAATGTAATACATATTATGTTCAGCAGAAATGCGTACTGTTTGTTTGTAGTGCAATGGCAAGGTAATGAAAGAATACAGTGTTTTTTCTCACCTAAGTTTCACTAAAAGGATTAATCCAGTTCTCCGTGCAGAAAATGCTCAAGCAAAAAAAAAAATGATAAAAGTAAAATATAATGAGCTGAGAATAATGATATGCATTATCTTGCACGATGAATATTCAGTGTATGTTTAATGCTAATTACGATAAAGCAGGTGATCTGCTTTTTTGGAAAATTAGGTAAAGTGTCATTGTTACTCAAATGCTACTTAATGTTTGTCCTCATTTATTTACTATGTTGAACTAAAACAAAAGCTTTTGCTTCTTTGTATTTTATTTTATTTTTGCATCATTTCTGCACAGAACACCTTTTTAATTTAGTTACTGACACTGTCTGGACAGTGAACTAATTTTGTTGGATGTGAGAGTGAACATGGCATTACTTTTATTTGGAGCCGAATCAGTTAATTAAAAAATTAAATGGGGCCAAAGGTATTAGGTGCTGCTGGTGTAAGCTTTGCTGATAAACGTGGTCCTTCTTCGCTGTCATATATGGTATCAAACTGATACCCTATAGATAAACGTGGTCCTTCTTCGCTGTCATATATGGTATCAAACTGGTACCCTATAGATAAACGTGGTCCTTCTTCGCTGTCATATATGGTATCAAACTGGTACCTTCTAGGCAGTTTTTGCTTTAAAAGCACTGGAGGTTCATTTGGAGCTATGGCCAGTGTGACTTTGCTTACTATCTACTTGGTGTTGCACCTCAAAGCAGAATGTGGCTTTTTCATAAATATCAGAGATTGTGAGCCTCAGCAAAACACAGTGTAATAGTAATGTGCCAAAAACTGCTTTAACTCATTGACCTACATGTATAATGTAGTAGTAGAGTTTCTCTTGAATGAAATCTGAGTCACAATAACAAAACTAATAATGGTCCATAAGCATTTCATGCTTTGGACCCTTAATGATAAATTTCACATATATGCTGCTCCAATATACTTTATGAAGCTGTGTGACATATGTGATCTTATTTGATAATCGTTATATCTTATATCAACATCTGTTTTTTTTTTATATGCAAACTATCCTTGTTTGCTCATCGTGTCTCTTTATAAATTCTGACACCACGTTGTCAAGTCTGAGCTCTCCCTGTAGAGGGAGAAACTGCGAACGTGTGCTTGTGCTTGTATTGTAAAGCCAGGATATCGCTAAACCGTTTCTGTTCTGGCCCACAGATGTGGTCAGTCATGTCCTGGTTGCTTTGCTTGTGGATTAGTGTGAGCTCTATGCTGATGTGTCACGCCAGTCTGTACGACACACTCCAGCAACACCGCATGACCCGACCAGGAATAAACACCATTCAGATCTTGGGTAAGTGTCAAATTCTCTCATTCTTTTTTCTCTCCAGTCAAACACGTGTGCATCTTCCCAATCTACACAGCTGTTCCAAAGGCTTGTAATGCTATACCTGCAAGTGCCTCTGCCTTTGTTTTTAAATTATATTTAGCTCCTTTATCAGGGCAGTAGATAAGTTAGACTTTATGCTTCGTGACAGTCAGATAACTCCCTGAAAAGACTATGCAAATTGCATGTGATCCAGCAAGATACCAAACTTATTATGTTCCTCACCCTGATTGGCAGGTCTCTTATTTCTGTTCCCCAGTGCTCTGTGTTTCCAGTCAATGTCTAGAATGGGATACCAGCAGATACCCTGTATGTCGCTGTTCCACTTCATTGTATGAACATATAACTGAATGAATTTCCCCCATGATCAAATCAATCTATCTATCTATCTATCTATCTATCTATCTATCTATCTATCTATCTATCTATCTGTCTATCTATCTATCTATCTATCTATCTATCTATCTATCTATATTGAAATACTTTCTAATAGGTTGGGAGTCCAAAATGGTCATAGTCATTTTGCAACATCATGGATATTTGTACAAAGCCCGTGAAGGGATATGAAATTTTCTTTTTCATTTTTAGTTTAATCTGGTGTAAACCTGAAACTAGCTCTACTTTCAGGTGCACATCAGTTACTATCTATACTTTCAGGTGCACCCCTAGAAGCTAAAAATGGAAAAAAAAAAATAATTTGATGTCCCATTAGGGGCATTAGTTTCAGGATTCTTTTCTTAAAATGCAGAGAAACTAAACCTAACTAGCTGCAGATGGGAAGTTAACTGGGTCATGAATGACAAATCCCTGTGTGGTTGCGCCGGCAAGTCAAAGCACCTCGTTAGCGATACTCCTGACCACACGTGTGCACACACACAAACGCCCACCTAAGCACTAAGTTCAAACAATGTGCCATCAATAACAGAAATGTCTTAAACATGCTCAGAGGTGCATAAAGGTTGTGAACTGTGCTGTGTTCCTTTACAATAGATTTCTCTGTAGTCTGTTAAAAGGGTCATGGGTACAATCAGCATTCATGAAAGAATTCTCCACTTTTCATTGAACTAGTAAGTCTGGAGTAATCTGATTTACAATGTCATCTATCTGCTTTTTACTTCAGCAATCAATGCTGATGAACAGCTGTAGAAACTGCAGAAGCATCATGATCTATCCCATCCTGATATGACGAGTATCAGGATGGGATACTCAGTGGGGGCATCGCTACAAAGCTAGCATCCACTTTGTCGGAGAAATGCAGCTTTCCCAGAATCACTAAAGTAATTGTGCAGTGTTCTCTAGTACTGTTGCTAGTACTGACACAATTTTAGATCTGGAAGAAAATAAGCTGGAAGTAAATGAATCTGCAACACAGCGTCTGGGATTCACATGCCATCATGTCATTTTTGTTGGATGGATATTTTTTCTCACACAGTTCTTTCTAGATGTACATTATTTATTTTTAGTTTTATATATTAAAGATCAGACAATGTAACATTATTACATTGTTATTTTAATGATGCATTTTCCAAAGCTTCACACACACACACAGACACACACACATGCACGCACATACTTAATATATAAAATGTACCTGTAGCACAGATAGCAGGACAGCATACTCGTGTGCTCGTATCACTCTCTCACTTTCTGTCATGCATTCTGCCCTCTGCTGAGTCCCTCCTTCTGACATGGACAAGATTGATAGCATTTCTATTCAGGGCAGCCAATTGGAGTCTTTTACAAAAATAATCTTGCACCCCAGCAAATAGACGCACATTACGTCCTACTTTGAATACAATAGCCTATTGTCCTGTCATAGTGCTGCTTGGAAGTAGTCGTTCAATTTCCAGTTCTTTTTTTATGCACCTTTTTTTTCAATTTTACTACATGATTGTGAGACTCACTGACGGGTACTCAAGGGATTTAAACACACTCTCACATGGTGTTACGTGTAAGGAAAGTATAACCTGATATGCGGATATGAAAACAGGCAGCCTATACTTCATAGCTGCAGTATCTGCTGCAGGGGGAATGGTGCCGTTTCTGGATTGGTAAGTTTATTAAAGCGGACAGGTCATGATTTGTGAGCTCCATCAGCTGCGTGTAATGGCTTACTGGCCCACTCATTTGAGCTGCCCCCCTCCAGACACAAGTTCACAATGGCTGGAATTACTACTGAGAGTTGAGATTACAATGATTTAACAGCTCATAAGGTTATTGGCAGTTTCACAACATACTTTCATTGTATTCCGAAACCTTCACTTTGCTCAAAAAAAAAAAAACAAACTGGGAAGATACACATTAATTTTTACAATAACATGAAATACCTCTTCCCCAAAATACCAAAATGCTACTTTTGAAATGCCTAGAGTAAAATGCATATTTATAGTAGCAATAATAATAATAATAATGATAATGCTTTTATGGCATCTGTACCATATCTTATTACATTTATCTACTATTGGGTATCCGTGATGCATGCCGTAATGCATTTCACTCGTTAATGTGGCATCACACAGACCATTGACCTTTCTTTAGGACAATGGCTTGGTGTGTTCGTATTTTCTTAAAACAATATTTCCCATCTAATAATTCTTCCAGTTACGTGTTGTACTACATTTGTTTGCATCTGTGAAATCACAGAAAATGAGATTTCTCACAAAATGTTTTCATCACAAGAATCAATTGTTTGTGCAATATTTTTGATATGCTCGTTGGATGTGCACTGGAGGTGGTGAATCTACTCTCAACAGCACAAAGTATGGGTTAACTGCAAGACTGCAAGGTTATTCTCCAAGCAAGGTTCATGACAAAATTGTCTGGACTGCGATGTGGTTGATATCAATGAAAGAAATGTTGTTTATTTGAAGCATAAAAGGGAGACCAAAATGAAAAAAAATGTTGCTTCGGTCTGCAATGAGAACATGAAGCCCCAAAGTTAGTTTTACTGTAAGCAGTAGCATGAATCCCCCTTGCTGTCTAGGTTCTCTGTTGTTGGTTGTATCAATTATATTTTGGGCATTTTGTTGAGTAGAAAATTTTGCTAACAGCACAAAGAATGTAGGTTTAAATCCCAGGGAGCAGACATCAATTGTAACCCTTCCCTCTATTGTAAGTCGCTTTGGACAAAAGCATCAGATAAGTGAATATAATGTACCTTTTTTCTATGTACCTACGATGTTTGGTATTTTTACCATATCTTCCTATGGGCATATTTGTTATTGCCAGATTATAATAGGAGTTTTTGGTTTCATCATGTCCCCCTTTTCCTCTTTTGTGCTACGCAGGATCCAGGGTCGATTAAATGTTGCTTTGCGTTATTCACCACATCACATTACATTGCGGCAAGCTGCAGAGATTCCTATGTCAGGTTTATCACTTCCAGTTTACGGATTAGATCGTATTTCCTGCCGCAAGTCTTTCATAGCGCTGTTAGTTTCATCCTTTGAATCAGGCAGCTGGGCAAAAACAAACAAACAATAAAAAAATGAAATTCATGCTTTAAACGAATGAAATTTCAGTCAATGTCACAGACTGGTGATTGTTTTCTCAGAGTTGACTGGGATGTTCACCTAAATGTTTCCGTATGAGCTGTATTGCCTGGTTGCGTTGCTCATGACCTACAGCTCAACATTTTTCACTGTGGGATGGTACATTTTTTCAGTTTATTCTTGTGATTTTTTTCACTTTTATGTCACTTTTATTGTTACTGTTCCTGTTTCTTTGGAAACACATGTGTTTTGATAAATAATGCTTCACTACCTTGATGATTCTCTTCCGCTGGAGCCCTCATTAAAATCTCGTTAAAATTTAGCCCAGTGACTTTTTTTTAAGCAATTAAGCAGTTATAAAGCAATTAAGAATTCTGTCTGAATCATTGCATTTATAGGTAACTACAGCCAAAACTTATTAAATTATTTAATAAGTGATTATTCATTTTGGCCAATGCATAAGCAATCAAATAAAAAAAAATGTCAAACAGAAAAGTATGTTTTAATGTTAGAGGGGTTAAATGTGTCAGCCAGATGATTGGATTGAAAGAGCTAAAATCCTTTTCCACTACTTGAACACTATTAGCAATTGATGCCTGGAACTACATTAAATTTGAGATAAATTAATGGAAAGCAATAACAGAAAAGTGAAATCCCCTTAAATGCAAATAAACTAGATGTGCAGTGGCTTCAAAGACTTTTTCATTTAATTATTTTGTAAATGGTAACACGGGTTAAGAAATTGCATGACAATTATGTGAAGTGGTGCTGTATAAACCTGACTTGGTAGCTGAACAGAAATGTGTTCTTTTACCTGAGAGACTATGTGGAATATGAAAATGTCTATATCTGGTACTAATCCTGAACCTTACTAATCTTAAAAAATTAGGCAAAATATTTTCAAACATGATTCAATTAAATTTTGTAGTTTTCTTTTCCCCAGTGCTGAAAAGCAGGGGTAAACAAATAAAAGCTGCTCAATCCTTTTCCATCACTCTCAAGGATGATGTGTAGACCTTTCTGATGCAAATCTAATGATTTCAGCCTGTCACTGCCATACCTGGAACAGCAGCATGTCAGTAAACAGAACTGATGTAAAATTATTTCCATTTCTCTGAAAGTGAAAGCCAGACATATGATAAACAATTCAACTCTCACAATATAATACCAGCGACATCCCTTGCAGCCAGGTTTTCCTGAAATTCCTAATTCAGATCTACCTCTTCCCCTCTGTCTACAGAATGCCAAGCTCTCTCTTCTCACCCGCTGTTCAGGGTGGCTTTCATATAAGCAGTGGCCAATATCAGCTGACAGTTATTAGTGCACTGTAGGAAATTTCAACACATGCCTCATGCTCCCCAATGCTTGTTGGCCCTAAGACTGCTTGAAATGGATCAGATGAGACAATTTGTCATGGATTAGTTCTTGTAAATGCTCTTTGTGATTACCGAGGTTGTGATTGAAGAAGCAGGCGAC